GCTCTTAAACGCGTGTGTCATTAAATACAGTCCTCCTGACAACAGGCCAGTGAAAAATCTAACAATCTACAGCAAAACCATCAATTATTATGGGCGTTATAACATACGTGTGCAGCTGGACGAAACATACACGTCGAACCCCCCCAGACGATTTAAATCCCTGACGAAACATACACGACGAACCACGGCAACGGGTTAATGGTTTACACATTAAGCACAATAATAATAACTCCATGGAGCACAGACCTTCCTGGGAAGCTGACAGCCACTCCCTGGCATTTTAGGAAACACAGATTCATTACTGTGCAGACAAGAGAGTGGGTGTCATCTCCCGCCTTAAGTTGTTTTAAAGAATCTATGAGACACACTCTGTCTGAAGTGTAACAATTTATTGTAGTTCTTTTGTCTTCTTCTCTTCTACACTACATGTTTCGGCCATAAATGGCCATTATCAGGTGTATTTTTCTCACACAGCTGTTACACTGCATGTAGTGTAGAGTGTAACAGGATGCTTAATTATAATATTGTTTTAAAGAACTTGTCAAAGTATCAGACTGCAACATTTCATAATATGTTGATTTATTTAAGGCTGCAAGTTTGTATGTTACATGTCCAACCCCCCCCCCGATCATCTCTTACTGGCTGTCCACAAGCGTTTATTCAATACATTCACAGCTACCTCCTACATCTGGAGAACACCACAACAAGGGAAATGTTTGACATGCGTGAAGCATATTAATCTACAAACATTACGATCAACCCCCAACCCCCCCAAATTGATATTACATTACTTCTTTGTGCTCCTTCACTCAGTCCAAACTTCATTTCTAGCTTACTGAAAATGCCCTCAGGTTCACAAGTCAGTAGTGGGGACTGCAAAAAGGACCAGCTGACATTTCTACAGTATGGTGTGACAACTCAGGCCACCTCACACATAAATTTAAATAAAATTGACAGCCCGTACTTACTTTACTGAAGCTTAATGGTGGCATTTGTATAGGGTCAGCCTTGCTGTCAGGTCCTTTGCTGAGATCTGACATTGTGCTAGAATTCTTATTGGCGAATCCTAATGTCACGTCTTCAGAATCGTCGGCAATTTTTCGGTCTGAAAGATAATAAATTGTGGTCAATTTGGTGCAGCAAAATATGAATTCTCCAGCAACATAATAGTAAGATGAACAGAAGAAACCCCATGCTCTCCAAAGCATGTATATGTTAAAGCTATAAGACAAATTCTATTTATACTGTGGCATGTACAGCTGTTGCTATGAAACAGGCCAATAACCAACGACGTTATGCAACCTATTTCTAGGCATAACAAGTCATGAAAGGAGGCAGGAGGCAGAAGCTGCTGCTGCTGTGAGAAAAACAGTCAACAAATGAAGGAAGATGGGTGCCCTGAAAATAATTGTAGAGATGTGCCAATAAATCCAATCATCCATTCCAGAACCTGTTATTATTCATCATGGAACACCCTACAAGTAAAAACATGATTAAATTGATTATATATATAAATACATATATATTTCTGTGTGTGTGTGTGTGTATACACTGTATGGGGAGTCCCATATATATGTGGATTGTTTCCTTAATGCACACTGTTTTATCTACAGGAGGAGAGAATAATTTATCCAAAATGCTCTCCTAATGGATAAGTTATTCTACACCTGCCCT